ATGTTATGGTTTTGCAGGGAACAGGAACAGAACTGTATGTCCAGCAGAGGATAGCATGCAAGCGATGTGAGGATATAGAATCATAACTAGAATTACCACCTTGCAGTTGAATGCCTTTGTGAACCAGTCAAGTTGCAGTTACAGTTTACATCCACGTCTATCCCGACTAATGCGTAACCATGACAATTGACAATGCATCAAATATAGATGTTGCTGCAAAGAAACTCCAAATTCTAAGGCTTTACACACATCTTCAACCTGGCAGCACAAAAGATCTTGTTGTGGAAATTCTCTGCTGCTGGTGAATAATGAAATAGAGACTTCTGTCGGCCGACAAGGTTTTTATTTTCTTTGAAAGGGGGGATGCTGGATGCCATAACTCAACACTGGTTCACCAAAGGGTTTTCAGTTCATGCGCAGAAGTTTTGTCAATCATGTATGGTTTGTGCAACAGATAACGCAGGTAAAACCAAAACAATCACACACGCCACTCACCCACCATCAGACAGACCATTCCAACATTTGAATACCAACCAAATTGAGCAGCGATAATGGCTCACACTTTGTCAATTCTGCAATAACCCAAATCAGTGATTTTCTTGCCATTTGACCTCAGACAACATTGTACATACCACCCTGCCAGTGGAGGTGCTGTCGAACGAGAAAATGGCACTCTGAAATCAAAATTGGCTAAGTGTTGTGAGGAAACGGGACTGCCATGGACAAAAGCTCTGCCTATTGTTCTAATGCATATGAGAATGAGAAAAAGGTCCAGAGTGAACATGAGTCCCTTTGAAATTCTTTTTGGCAGACCTCCATCCCTAGGAGTGGAGCCTGTAACCAGGCTGCTCCCCTCCACTGGCCTATGTGAGGATGACATGTTATAATATTGCAAAAACATATCTTCCACTCTCTCTCAATTCTCTCAGCAGGTGAAATCAGCCCTTCCACCACCAGCTTCCACATCACTCCATGATTTCCAACCTGGCGACTGGGTGGTGATAAAGGACCTAAGAAGGAAACACTGGCACTCCAAACGCTGGCGAGGTCCATTCCAGGTGCTCCTGACAACACATACTGCTGTGAGGATCGCTGAGAGAGCAACGTGGATTCACGCCAGCCACTGCAGGAAGGTCCCTGAGCCAACGGAGGAACTCAGCTGTCGATGCGAGGACGGACAATGCGAGGATGGACGACACGAGGACAGACGACACGAGGACGAACAACGCGAGGACGAACGAGCTCATCAGAGGACGACACAAAAAAATGACTCCGTGAATTCAACAGACACCAACTAGACGTGCAGGACTAACATCGCAAAACCTTTTCCCACCAGACTACACCACCTATCCTGACCCTATCATGCGATACTTATAGAGACTTACATCTACAAACCTGCCAAGACTGTCACTCTGACAGAAGGAGAAAGTGCAACATTCAGCTGTTCTGTTCACCCCGGAATTTGACAATCAGGTCAAATTCACACATATTATGAACATTAACAATGCTGATCAAAAATTCAGCCTCATTTCACATTCCTGATCCCCATCATTACCCCAGCTCAGACTTTGACTCTGATGATGACATTTTATAAATAATGTTTTCTTTTTTTTTTTGTTTTTTGTTTTGCTGTTTTTTGTCTTTTCTCTATCTCTCTCCCTTTCCTTCAATTTTTACATACATATTTTTTGTTTTTCTTTTCTTTTTTTTGTTTTAGTGATTAATCAATAATCAAAAGGGTGGAATTGTAATTGTAATTTCATTTTCTTTGTGTATTCTTTGTGTTTTCAAATACACAGATGACTAGACCTCTTAACCTCCCACCTAGATACAAAATCCTGCAGGATACGCCAGGTGTGAAACACACCCTAGGGGGTCGGAGCCAATACTTGCAGCAGACGAAAGAGTGTTAAAACAATGGGTAGGGGCGCCGCTCCCTGCCGCAGACAGAAGGGTGTGAAACACAACGTAAGAGGCAGTCCTAAGGTATAAATCTTTAAGCTTTCCCCATGCTCAGGGTCTTTCTTCATTCTGACCACTTGTGTGCTGATTGACCTTTTCTTTGCAAAGAAAATAAAAACCTTGTCGGCCGGCAGAAGTCTCTATTTCATTATTCACCAGCAGCAGAGAATTTCC